TTACCGCTAAATCTAACCCTACATCTATATTTAACCCCCACAATTTCCACTAACTATAACCCTAAGGTAAACATCTCAATCTGGGACTGCTTCTATTTAACATATTTATGTATGATCTTGAAATAGGCATTGTAAGTCATGTGTTTATGGAGGAGACATACAGTGTCACCGTGGCAGATCCTGGGGGGGCCGGGGGGGCAACGGGGCAATTGCCATCTGTGGAGCTACCTCATTAGGGGCTCGGTCGGGTGCTGCAGCCCTTTGGCAGACCGGGCCCATTTAAAGTTGCAGGGAGTGCTGGGAGGAAGTGACTGTTACGTTCTCCCAGCATACAGACCACGCGGGCTGAGAAGGAGCAGGCAGCTGGGAGAGAAGGAGGAGGGAGGAGAGAGAGCTCTGCAGCTTCAGACTCCCACCAGCATCAGCCAGCCCCAGAAAGTCACCTCCCTGCAACCAAAAAAAACAAAAGGTATGGAAGCAGGGTGGGTGGTTAACATTATGGAAACTGCAAATTGTGTGTGTGCCAGTGTGTATGTTTAGGTATGTGTGCATCTGTGAGTGTCAGTGTGTATCTGTGTGCATCTGTGAGTGTCAGTGTGTATGTGTGTGCATCTGTGAGTGTCAGTGTGCATCTGTGAGTGTCAGTGTGTATGTGTGTGCATCTGTGAGTGTCAGTGTGTATCTGTGAGTGTCAGTGTGTATGTGTTTGCATCTGTGAGTGTCAGTGTGCATCTGTGAGTGTCAGTGTGTATGTGTGTGCATCTGTGAGTGTCAGTGTGCATCTGTGAGTGTCAGTGTGTATGTGTTTGCATCTGTGAGTGTCAGTGTGCATCTGTGAGTGTCAGTGTGTATGTGTGTGCATCTGTGAGTGTCAGTGTGCATCTGTGAGTGTCAGTGTGTATGTGTTTGCATCTGTGAGTGTCAGTGTGCATCTGTGAGTGTCAGTGTGTATGTGTTTGCATCTGTGAGTGTCAGTGTGCATCTGTGAGTGTCAGTGTGTATGTGTGTGCATCTGTGAGTGTCAGTGTGTATCTGTGAGTGTCAGTGTGCATCTGTGAGAATGTGTGTATATGTGTGTGTATCTGTGAGTGTCAGTGTGTATCTGTGAGTGTGTATATGTGAGTATCTGTGAGTGTCAGTGTGTATCTGTGAGTGTCAGTGTGTATCTGTGAATATCTGTGAGTGTCAGTGTGTATCTGTGAGTGTCAGTGTGCATCTGTGGGTGTCAGTGTGCATCTGTGGGTGTCAGTGAGTATGTTTGTGTGTTAGTGTGTATCTGTGAGTATGTATGTGTATCTGTGTGTACCACTGCACTCAGGTTCCGCTTTTCACTCTGGCCCACAACCTCAGAGGTGTTCTGTATTAGACAGATCCGTCCAACAATACAAGGTAATCCGTCCAACAATACAAAGTAATAGAATATACAGGCAACACTCCGGGTACTGAAGGTGTATTTATTGAAGGGTAGAACACCACATAAAAGTGCAAAAGTGCAACTTTTCAGCCCTAGACGGACTTAAACATGATTAAGGCCCTCTAGGGCTGAAACGTTGCACGTTTGCACTTTTAAGGTGTTCTATACTCCAATAAATACATATTCAGTACCTGGAGTTTTGCCTATATATTCTATTGCCTTGTATCTGTGTGTGTGTATGTGAAGGTATGTGTGTCATTTTGTGTATATGTAGGGATGTGTGTGTGTGTGTGTGTGCGCCAGTGTGCATGTGTAGGTATGTGTGTATCTATGTGCCAGTGTGTGTATGTGCATGTATGTGTGTGTATTTGTGTGCCAGTGTGTGTATATGTGTAGGTATGTGTATCTGTGTATGTAGGTATTGGTGTGTGCCTGTGTAGGTATAGGTTTGTATCTGTGGGTGTGCCAGTGTATGTGTGTGAAGGTATATGTTTTTATCTGTGTGTATGTGCCAGTGTGTTATTGTGTTTCCATATCACTGTGTGTGGCCGCATATGTGTACAGTCTCCTATCCCCTAAACAAGAGTCCCCTATTCCTCCGCTGCAGCCCTTTTCACTCCGCTCTAGTCCAGCACCAGTGCCCCTCCCGAGATTTGGTTCTGGATCCGCCACTGCAGTGCCATACATACACATACAGAGTCTTACTACCTGCAGAGGGATTTAGATAGATTAGAGGTCTGGGCACTCAAATGGCAGATGAAATTGAATATAAATAAATGCAAGGTTTTGTACTTCTGGATAAAGCCTCAACCTCATTTTAAGGGTTTCTCTATAAGTGCCCCACAAATATTATATATTGTATTTTAAAGGTCAGAACGGATATTATTTAGTATTCTTTTTATGTATATGTTTAGCTAACACAACATTAAATGTGAATAAAATGTTGAAAAATGTGAAGAAGCATTTTTTTTACACTTTTGCTTATAACAGTTTTAACACATCCAGTGTAACCAAATAAAAGAACTCAATATAGATTCATATATCAATCCTGATTGTCAAATGTCTAATATCTGTGAGTGTCAGTTTGTATCTGTGAGTATCTGTGAGTGTCAGTGTGTATCTGTGAGTATGTGTGTGCATCTGGGTGTGTCAGTGTGTGTGTGTGTGTGTGTGTGTATCTGTGAGTGTCAGTGTGTATCTGTGAGTGTCAGTGTGTGTCAGTGTGTATCTGGGAGCATCTGTGTCAGTGTGTATCTGTGAGTGTCAGTGTGTATCTGTGAGTGTCAGTGTGTGTCAGTGTGTATCTGTGAGTATCTGTGTCAGTGTGTATCTGTGAGTATCTGTGTCAGTGTGTATCTGTGAGTGTCAGTGTGTATCTGTGAGTGTCAGTGAGTGTCAGTGTGTATCTGTGAGTGAGTATGTGTGCATCTGGGTGTGTCAGTGTGTGTATGTGTGTGTATCTGTGAGTATCTATGTCAGTGTGTATCTGTGAGTGTCAGTGTGCATCTGTGAGTGTCAGTGTGCATCTGTGAGTGTCAGTGAGTATGTATGTATATCTGTGTGTACCACTGCACTCAGGTTCCGCTTTTCACTCTGGCCCACAGCCTCAGAGGTGTTCTGCATTAGACAGACACTGCTAATCCGTTCCAACAATACAAGGTAATAGAATATACAGGCAACACTCCGGGTACTGAAGGTGTACTTATTGAAGGGTAGAACACCACATAAAAGTGCAAAAGTGCAACTTTTCAGCCCTAGATGGACTTAAACATGATTAAGGCCCTCTAGGGCCGAAACGTTGCACGTTTGCACTTTTAAGTTGTTCTATACTCCAATAAATACATCTTCAGTACCTGGAGTTTTGCCTGTATATTATATTGACTTGTATCTGTGTGTGTATGTGTATCATTTTGTGTATATGTAGGGATGTGTGTGTGTGTGTGTGTGTGTGTGCGCCAGTGTGCATGTGTAGGTATGTGTGTATCTATGTGCCAGTGTGTGTATGTGCATGTATGCATGTGTATTTGTGTGCCAGTGTGTGTATATGTGTAGGTATGTGTATCTGTGTATATAGGTATTTGTGTTTGCCTGTGTAGGTATAAGTTTGTATCTGTGGGTGTGCCAGTGTATGTGTGTGAAGGTATATGTTTTTATCTGTGTGTATGTGCCAGTGTGTTATTGTGTTTCCATATCACTGTGTGTGGCCGCATAAGTGTACAGCCTCCTATCCCCTAAACAAGAGTCCCCTATTCCTCCGCTGCAGCCCTTTTCACCCAGCTCTAGTCCAGCACCAGTGCCCCTCCCGAGATTTGGTTCTGGATCCGCCACTGCAGTGTCACTACCTGCAGAGGGATTTAGATAGATTAGAGGTCTGGGCATTCAAATGGCAGATGAAATTGAATATAAATAAATGCAAGGTTATGTACTTCTGGATAAAGAATACACCCTAAACGGTAGTGAGTTAGGGAAAACAACACATAAGAAGGATTTAGGATAACAAACTAGGCAACAATGTCCAATGTCAATCAGCAGTTGCTATGTATAAAAAGGGGCATTAACTCTCTGGATGGAAATATACTTTTGCCTGTTTATAGATCAATGTTAGTTGTCAATGTCAATGTGAATATGCTGTGCAAATATAGGAACCTGTTCTAAAGAAGGATACTATGGCACTAGAAAAAAATAATAAGAGAATGGAAGATTTTGGTTATGAGGAAAGGCTAATAAACATACATCTCTTTAGTTTAGAAATGCAGCACCTCAGAGAGGATATGATGACATTATACAAATATATTTGGGGCCAACACAAACCATGGACTTGAAATCTATACATAAATAGGACTATACATTGGATACAATGACACCTGTTTAGACTGGAAGAAAGGATATTTATTCTAAGGAAAAGGATAGGGTTCCTGAGAGTAAGAAAAGTAAAGATGTGGAATTCTCTGCCTGTAGTGGTGGTTTTCTCAGAGTCCAATAGCAGTTATACCGATTTTAAACATTGACTGTATGAATTTTTACAAAAGCAAAATATTTAGGAATATAATAAATAATATGTGGGTTAACAGCTTCTTGATCCAAGAAGAGATCTGACTGGGACTGAGTAAGATTTTTTTTGTTCTAGTCTGTTACAAAATGTGTAAGCGATTCAAACTGGATATTTTGCTTTCTTTTGGATCAACAGCAAAAGCAGATACGAGAAAGGTTGAACTTGATGGATGCAAATCTATTTTCAGCCTATGGAACTATGGCCTCAGTCTAATATTGTTGGATGAGGTTTCTGAATAGTTTACTATTTTTGAATAAACTTTTATATGATTTTTTCTAAATAATAAATTATCAAAACAGATATCATAAAAATATCTCTCTCTCTCTCTCTCTCTCTCTATATATATATATAAAAAAATCTAAATTAAAATAATTAAATTACATCATGTAATAAGTTTATTCAAAAACATTAAATAATTTGGATAAATTATACAGCACGATTAATATAAGGTCTATGTACAATAAATGTAAAAGAAAGCAGAGCGTCTTATATAATTAGGTTAAAGGTTTACTCTAAACACTATTACCACTTCAGAGAGGATGTGACCTCAGGGACCGCAGTGACAATAAAATCAGAGACACAGTAATATGTTATTTTTACACTGTGTAATACGGTGTCTCTGATTTTATTGTCACTGCAGTCCCTGAGGAAGTTCCTCTACGGAACGAAACGCATAGGACCAACCGCTTTCTTTTATTATCCTATATTGATTGGCGAGTATTTGCCTTTTTACAATAAAAGAACGAAAAACATTTTTTACCTTACACATCTGGAGTCCTGTGTACCATTGGCTTTCCTGCAGTGAGAAGGGGATTGACAGCCCCCCATTTTATTGGGGGAGGCACCCTATAAAACGCCTGACTCTACGTCATCTCGTGAGAGCATCCAAATATAGCGCATATGTTATTGTGCATACTGTATCACACTATGTTTCTTTTTTAGATAAAATAATATCCCGTATTTTCTGTCTTTTGGTATCTTGCTCTATTACATTGTCTGCCTACCTTTAAGTCACCTGAAATAATTACTCCTAAATTCCTTTCCTCAGATGTTGAGGTTGTTTAACTCCACCTTTGGCAATGTCTTTAACCAGTCAGGAGTTAAAGTTCTGGGCTGGTTAATGTTAAATCTGTGCATATTTAATGTCTGTCATTAGCACACATAAGATGGCTGAATGGGAGAAGCGGATAGAAGGCAGGGGAGGAATGGCAAAAATGTCAGTGGGGCACTTGCCCCTGGGCCATTAGTTTCCAGGGTTTGTTAATTAACTACAAGGTCAGGTCATACTGATGGAATTTTCATGAATGCAGAATGTCAGAATTAACAACTCCAGCAACCTAATGTCACACCCGTATATCATTTGAGCACTATGAGTAGATCCATTCAAATAATCTGTGCAAAGTGCATAATGTGCAAAAACAGGCCATTACTTGCCCCCCCCCCCACCCCAGGCCAACATTTCTCAGCCCTCCCTTGATAGAAGGCATTTTTCAAAGTAATTGGTTAAAATCTACATGTCATTCTAGTGATGCTCATACGCTGGTCATGGACCCAGTGCCAATGCATGTCAAAATTCTGCACTGGTACTGTGCCCTTTTGTGGTTCTAGAATAAATCAACAGCACATTCAACCAGTGTTTGTGTTTTTTCTTGGGTTTAAACCAGCATTAACCACTAGTGAGTATGATGTAGAATTTCACTCTTTTTCTGCAACAATCAGTTTCATTGAGGCTATAGTAACAGCTTTTTTGGATTGTCTTTCAGACAAATCTGTAGATATGGTAGCGGTCTGGATCCACCTGCTGAGCTTGAGGACCTTATAACATAACTAATACATGTTCTTCTTTAGGAAACAACTAACTGGATTAGCTATTAAGGTCATGGAATATCACAGGACTGCAAACATGAGGACAAAGTTGTCCCTGTGCTCTCTGGCACTCAAACTACGGTAGACAGTAGCTGTCCTTTTGCACCAAGCACATTAAGTTTGGGGTGCATTATGGGACCTCTAACCTTCTGTATAATGATAGCCAGAGACCAGTGCTGGATGAGAGTAATGAGTTACAGTGAGTCTTATCGTAATCATCCAGGACTGAATGAGCATGAAGAATACTTACACTGAGTGCTATTGGTTTCTCTCACTGAATACATTGTGAAGTATACCACACTTACTCTTTTAGTCCTGCAGGAACATTCTTGAGTCCAATTTAGGGTATTTTGAAGCACTAAACTACATATGTTGTTTTTAATCCTAACAGCAGAGTTAAAATAATTTTTAACCTGAATGAAAAGGAATTCTTACTGCATTTTAAGATGTTGCCAGTGGTGTCACTAGAGGGCACCACCATCCTTCTGTATTACTGTAGTATATGACAAATTATTGCCTTCAATAAAGATACATTATCATAAAGGGATAGGTGCATTTGTATTATTGTCTTATTTAATTTCATTACAGAATTGAGTTTAAGAAAACATAAAAGGGCATTTCATTTCCAATTGCACAATGAAAAGAAATATTACACAACCAATAAACTAATATTAATAGTAGGATACATATTAGACAATTCCATTGATTGTTTTCTGGCACATCATTAACAACAAAACTAAAGGATATTGCAACACGCTTGCATATGATATATGTGTTATCCTTCTCTCATTAGTCATAAGTTGAGTCAGGGGCTCCTCTTAAATGTATGCTTTCCTGAGCTCACTTCCAAAGGGGCACCTGGAGTGTAAGGACAGGGTGCTTAACCCAAATCTAAAGGACTTCTAAGGTCACCATGGTCACTTCACCTCAATTAAGGGGTTTGGGTGCACTGGTCCTGTACTTTTAACCCAGCAATGTAAAACATTGCAGTTTATTTTTTAGACAGCCACTAGAGGCTCTTCTACTACACTGACCAAGTCAAATTCAGTCACATGATGCTAAAGCCTCCTTTAGGAAAGCATTGATTCAATGTTTTCATATTGGGAATTTTGAGCACGCACGCAGTGCTTGCTGAGTGTGCACATCAGGTTCACAATGCTCCCCTTGGAGAACCAGTGGATTGGACCATGCTGGTGGAGGTCATGCCTCCTCCATTACATCTTGGTTGGTGGAGAGGTAAGTAGGGCTGAGGGAGCCTCGGCACTGGAAAAATGTAAAATGTAACCTTCTCAAGGTCCTTGGCAAGAGTTCAACAAGAGTCCCTAGCAACCTGTTACCCACATGCTGCTCGGGCTCACCAAGAAGCGTCAACCTTAGCAGCAAAGGATGGCGGCGATTAGCTGAGAGTGTCAGCTGGCCTGCAGTAGTGGTTATGGTGACTGGAGTGACAACTCCTATAATGCTTTGTGGGAGTTAATAGTTCGTATTTTCTCCCATTTTTTTTCATATTAAATTATGTTTCATAGCTAAATATTTGATATTAAATGAAAGCCCTGTTTTCCCTGAATAAAATGATATATAATAAGGGTGGGTGCATTTACTATGAAAGAGGTGAATTATGGTTGGACAGACATGTAGCGCAAATGCCAGGTTTTGTTTACATTTGTTTATCATTAACGTACATTTCTGGCCCGTCCTTAACCCCTTAAGGACGGAGCCAAATGTACACGCTGTGAACAAAACAAAATGTAAACAAAACCTGGCATTTGCGCTACATGTCTGTCCAACCGTAATTCACCTCTTTCATAGTAAATGCACCCACCCTTATTATATATCATTTTATTCAGGGGAAACAGGGCTTTCATTTAATATCAAATATTTAGCTATGAAACATAATTTAATATGAAAAAAAATGGGAGAAAATACGATTTTTTTGATTTTTTTAGTTCTAAATTGCATTTTAAAGGTCAGTGTCATAATACTGTTTGCTTTTACTGCAATAAAATACACATATTTGTATTCAGCAAAGTCTCACGTGTAAAACAGTACCCCTATGTACAGGTTTTATGGTGTTTTGGGAAGTTACAGGGTCAAATATAGCACGTTACATTTGAAATTGAAATTTGCCAGATTGGTTACGTTGCCTTTGAGACTGTATAGTAGCCCGAGAATGAAATTTACACCCATAATGGCATACCATTTGCAATAGTAGACAACCCAAGGTATTGCAAATGGAGTATGTCCAGTCTTTTTTAGTAGCCATTTGGTCACAAACACTGGCCAAAGTTAGCGTTAGTATTTGTTTGTGTGTGAAAATGCAAAAAATGCCAATTTTGGCCAGTGTTTGTGACTAAGTGGCTACTAAAAAAGACTGGACATACCCTGTTTGCAATACCTTGGGTTGTCTACTATTGCAAATGGTATGCCATCATAGGGGTAATTTTCATTCTTGGCTACCATAGGGTCTCAAAGGCAACGTAACCAATCTGGCGAATTTTAATGTGAAAAAAATGAAACGCAAGCCTTATATTTGACGCTGTAACTTTTGAAAACACCATAAAACCTGTACATGAGGGGTACTTTTGTACTCGGGAGACTTCACTGAACACAAATATTTGTGTTTCAAAACAGTAAAAAGTATCATAGCAATAATATTGTCCGTTTAATGCTGTTTGTGCGTGAAAAATGCAAAAAACGTCACTTTTACTGGTGATATCATCTTTGTAATACATTTTACCGTTTTGAAACACTAATATTTGTGTTCAGCGAAGTCTCCCGAGTAGAACAGTACCCCCCATGTACAGGTTTTATGGTGTCTTGGAAAGTTATAGGGTTAAATATAGTGCTAGCCAATTAAATTCCCTTTACTTTCGGCATGGGTTGTCATGCAGGTCCCGCTAATTGTAATTAATTAAGATACCTAATTATGTAAAAAATATTACATAAATATATATGTAGAATTAATATATGTATATATATACGTATGTGTATATATATGTATATATCTATATAATTTTTTTAAAATATTTTTATTTATATATAGGTATATATATAGTGATATATACGTATATATTTATGTGTATAAATATATATATTATTTTGTTCTATGTGTATTTTGATATATATATATATATATTAATTTCACAATACAGTTAGAACGAAATAACACACATCTATATATTTTTTAATTATTTATTTTAATTATTTTTGTAATTTTATTTTTTAACGTATTTACATTTTAATTTTTTTTATAATATATATAAATATATATATAACAATAATTATATATATATTTAATCAGTATCATTCTACGTGTAATTTGATATTAATATATATATATATAATTATATATATATTAATAGTAAAATACACCTAGACGCTGTACATGTGTGTATGTATATGTGTATATATATACTTTGATCATATATATATAATATATATATATGATCTAAGTATATATAATTTTATTTTTTTACACTTTTAACTTATTTTACTTTTATTTTCAGCCAGCAGGGGGACCCCCTGTAATTACAGGGACCGCCGGCGACCGGGTAAGTACAGAAAGACCGGAGGGCGTACTATTACGCCCGGCGGCGTTTAGAGCCGCCTATTAGAGGACGTAATAGTACGCCCTCCGGTCTTAAGGGGTTAAGGGGTTAAACAGACCTGCTTGACCCTTTCTTGAAGCCTTGGCTCATGCTTGGGGGATGGGATAAGTCTGCAGTGCTGATGATGTCGGTTGGAGTGCTTGGAGTCCTCGGCAAGCACTAGGAGCATTGATTGGCGGAGGTA